ACATGTTTTTAAATTTATATCTAAATGTTTGTTTAGGCAGATTGTAAAGGTGCTCTAATTTTGAATTTCCTATGTTTCATTTTTTTCTGCTTTAGACATTTTAAGAACAGAAATAAATGCCACTAATTACATGCAAGTGTATAACAATTACTACTATATACAGACTTTTTATACTTGAATTAAAAGTATACCATTAGGCAATAACTCTTAATCCCTTCTTCCCCAGGCCCTGATAACCTCTAGCCTACTGAATTTGCCTGTAGAAATGTTCCTATTTTAGGCATTTCATACAAGTTAAACTATATAAACACATGCCATTTTGTTTATTGCTTCTTTTCATATTTGTTTTTTCTGCCTAATATTCCAATGCATTTATTTATTTGACTCATTCAATCAGATTTTATCAGTAAATTTTAGATATACCTGTTTTCTTTTTAACTTATAAAAATGATATGAAATGCTGTATTGATCTCGTCACCTTGCTGAAATCAGATTTTAGACTTAAGAAACTTTAGAACCCATGAGATTTTTTAAATAGTCATGTTATTTGATAACAAGGATAGCTTTATTTCATTTGAATCTGTGTATTTATTTCTTTGAAGTGGGTAGAATTTCTAGTGTTGTATTGAGTAAGAGTAATAAGAACCAAATCCTCATTTGTTACCCATCTTGGGGGAAAGTATTCTGTCTTTTACCCTTAATAATGGCTGTAGTTTTTATTAACACCGACTTTTTAGTGATCAAGTTAAGGTACACACTAAAAATTGATTGTAAAGTACATGGATTTTCCACATACTCCTTTTTCCCATTCATGTATGGCCTCCTCAATTATAAATAATCCCTTCCAAAATGGTACATTTGTTGTAAGTGATGAAAATGTTTTGGGTTTGTGAAGCCTTTTATCAAATTGAGATAGTTCCTGTTTCTAAATTGCTGAGGGTTTCAAATGAATGAGAATAAGATTTTGTTAAATACCTTTCTGCATTAATTGAAATCATCTTCTTTATGCCAATTATTCCTGCTCATCTCATAATTTGGGGGATTATGATGAAGAGATATGCTATGAAAATAGTTGTTGTGGAAAGCTAAGTGTAGGTCATGAGATATCAGAAGAAAGTAAAATTAAAAGGAGTAGACTCAAAACACTGGTACCCAGAGAACCTAAGGAGTGCAATCATTTCAGAGATATGGAGCAGATGGTGGGTGGTCTGGTTGATACACTGTGTCAACTTGAGGAATCTAGAAGTTTAACTAAGTAACTCAGCAGTTCTACATCCTGGGGTGAGGACATACCCTTACCCCTTAGGATGTTGCTCAAGTGTCAACTTGAGAAGTTTAAAAGCTCAACTAAGTGATTGAGCAGCGGGCCAGGGTCTATACTTTGTAAATGTCCTCAGTTTGTGGAAGAGGAGGGCACAGAGATGGTGTGGGTATAGGCAGATAGCCCGCATACAATATAATGGAGGAAAAGAAGCTTGTTCCTTGTTTGTGCTCTTGTTGCTTTTGCTATCTTCTGAGGCGTTGGACTGTTGTTCTTGTGCTGTGACACTTTGACTCGGAGCCAGCTGATTGTAGACTGAAGCCTCCACAAACTGTGAGCTAAATAAACCTCTGCTTCCTTAATTTTGGGTGTCAGGTATTTTGTCCCAGCAACGAGAGAAAAGTAACCAAGACACTGGGCCATAAGAACACTCTGAGTCCCCTCAGCACAGAGATACAGCTTACTTAAATAGCTCCACTGGATGAAACAAAGCAACATCACTCATACCAGTTATGTTTGAACATTGAATCGTGTGAAATGACCAATATCTCTAGTATGCAGTTCAGGTTACAGTGGTTCTTGATTTGTAGGAATCTCAAAGGGAATGAAAATGGAGATATTTTGGGAAAGCCACGAATAGAGCTGCCTAGTCGCTTTGTGTTCTTTGAGCCATGTTGTCATATTTGACCCTGTCATACTTATCATCATAGTCAGTATCATCATAATTGGAATTATTAGGAGAAAAGCACCAAACTATTTAATAGTTTTTTAGCCAAGTTTCTATAAGGCAGTTTTAGGCAAGAGGACTAAAGTACCTCTCCAAATATAATTTGGGTTTATTGTTTCTCAGCTGTTTCTGATAGGCTTATTGCTTGAGATTTTAGACAACCATTTGATTGTTGTTGGCTTCTTTGCACTTCACACTTGTCATAACCAAAGAGTGGTGGCTATTTTAATTATAGTCAAGGTAATTTGAATTTAGATCAGAAGTTTCTTCTCTTTTAACAGTTTCTCACGTCTGACAAGTGATATTTAGAGTGGCAGACTGTTTCATAGCCCTGTGTTTTCCTAATGCAGAGGAAAATGGTTTAGAAAATAGAAAAGTTTTACAATGTGGATGTTTACATCCTTATTTCTATTATTTTCACATTTTAAGTGAGAAATGTGTGCGCCTTTAAATTATAAGGCAAGGAAAATTGCTATAGATTCACTTATATTTAATTAATTTCAAGAGCAGGTTTATGTTCCTGGTCCAGAAGAAAGGAGAAAAAGAGACATAAAGAGAAAGAGTCAGAAGATACTGCTGGTTGGAGTGAGGATGAAGAAGGATATTATGTTTTCTTTTTTCAAATGCTACTTGAACTATCTGCCATGGGGATGAGGAGGTGAGACGAAGTATTTTCTGTTTAGAGTAGGTTCCCTAGGAGGGTGGATGCGCCTTCCCAAAATAAATCAATGGAGAAGGAAGGGAGAAGGAAATACAAAAGATAAAAATAGTTGCAGAAGTTGCTGATGCCTACAAGATGCCAAGAGAGTGGATAAATCCCCCCAAATAAAGTATGTTGAGAAATGGCTGCTTGACAACATATGACAATCATCTTTTCATTTTGCTGATGCAATATTACTAATTTCAACTAATGTTCTTCTACCTGCTTGTATAATTTTGCACACAGGGACCCTAAAAGTGTACTAATGAGCATTGATTTTTTTCCAACTTTTTAATTTCAAATACTTTAAAATTTACTTCTAAATTGCCTGAGTAGTACCAGCATGCTAAACTGATGAATACACTTTTTCCCAGAGCCCTGATTCAAATTTTGCCAGTAGTTATAACGAGGTCCTTGATGTCAAAAGGTCCAGTTTAGGGTTACATATTATATTGAGGTACCTTGTCTTCCTATCCTCCTTTAGGATAGGAGAGTTCCCCAAGCTATACTTGACTTCATACGTTTTAGGTCACTTACGGAAATTCTCTTTTTGCTGTCTGGTAGTTCTTGATTATAAGCAGGCTGTAAATTTGGGGCTGAATATTAGAGAAGTGTTGTGTTCTTTTCATCACCTTTCATGAGGTAACACATGATTTGTCCTTTTACTGATTGGTATTGTTAATTCTGATCACATGATTCAGAGTGTCTGCTACGTTCCTCCACCATGAGGTTCACTTTTCTCTTGGCTAGTAATAAAAATTTTTGTAGAATGGTACTTTGAGACCATGTAAAATCATGTTATCCAACTCACCTTCACCCAATAAGTTAAAATTTCATTGATTCCGTACCACACTTCTTTCTGTATTCACTAGCATTGTAGCCTAAGACAGAACTTTTTATTTTTTTTCTGTCCATTTATATCAGGGTGGATTCATGGGTTTCTTTTTTTACATAATGGGTTATAATTCATTACTTTCATTACATATTTTGATGCTTAAATCGTTCCTGGTTTGGTCTATGGAAGATTTTTCAAGAACTTTTTAGTTACTAAGAATATTCCGGGAAAATGATAGCTTTTGTTTTTAGCTCATCCTCTCTAAAATACAGACAACAATGCTTTCAATACTCTGAGTTTCTAGGCTCAAACTAGAGAAGAACAGAGTCTGCCTATGAGACCATTTCCAAAAGCATGTCCCACTGGGGCAGTTCACAGAAATCAAAGTGAAGAGCATCCTTACCAGTCACATTGGCCAGAGAGTGCTGGGCAGGTAGGAAGACAATTCTTAAAGCAGAGGGGAGAATAAAAAGACACAAGAAGCTGATGATAAATACTACTGAATGGAACACTCATTCACTGAGCATATACTTAGTAGAGTTGCCCCTCAGCATCCATGGGGATTCAGTTCCAGAACCCTCTTCAGATGTGCGAGTCCATGGATTCTCAAGCACTTTATTAAAATGGAATTGTACTTGCACATAATCTACTAACACCCTTCTGTGTACTGCAAATGATTGCTAGACAATATATAATATCTAATACAATGCAAATTGTTATATCATTTGTTTAAGGAGTAATGACAAGAGAAAAGTCTGTGCATGCTCAGTACAGGTGCATTTGGCTTTGAGTATTTTTGACCCATAGTGGTTTAATCTACTTATGGGGAGCTCATCCCCCATATATAAAGGGCTAATCACAGACCCCAGACTTTGCTTGCTTTGTGGATCCATAAATGAATGTACATCTTTCCTGTCCTGAAGAAGCTCTTATTCTAGTAGAAGAGGGTCATGCCAATAATTACAATACAGGCTATCTCAAAATTCTTCATATAGCCTTCAGATTTAAAAGTTTGATAGCTTTTGTTAAGTTACTTTTCATGAGGTTTATGCCAATGTGCAACCATAGAGTTGGAAAGTGATTTCTAAACACTGCTTTTAAAACCCTGTTCACACAATACTTTATGTACTTGAAAGGCACGATCTAAGAAGGCTTTAGATAAGAATTCAGGATCTACCTAGGCTACTTCCTTCCCTTTTGGAGTTGTTAAATCAATCCCACGGAAGCAGACACTGATTTTCTGAGAAAAAACCAAAGTGCCTATCGGCTGTGTTTCCCTAGATACTGACGGCACTGCACTGGATTTCAAAGGGTATGGAAAATAACTGCAGTTAAAGCACTGTTAATTTGTTATTTTTTGTAGTGTTCAATCACTGCCATTTTGGAGAGGAGGGCGGTTTACTTTCATGTAGAGTAATGGGGACTTCACAAAGTCAGGTGGTCACTTCACCAGAAGCTTCTCCTTAAAAGACATCTATTTATAGAGAATTTGGTAAAATTTTTAATTACTGTGAAGGGGTAATACATAAATAAGCAACGATGTCTGTGATGATTACCTTCTGCATATTTTGGTTTTAAAAAATGAGATCCAGTAACTTTCCCTTTACACTTAGATACACTTACATGACAGTGTGCATGTTACCTCTGCAAACACTTCCTTGGGCAAAAGCTCTAGACAAACAAAGTACAGCAGGTGGATTATTTTAGAATGGTTTACTTTTCTAGATCCCAAAGGCCTAAGAAGTGAAAAATTCCAAGTGCTTCTTCATCATATTTGTTTGGATTCTTTGCTTAAATTTTCATTTCTTTTATACCTGATTTTGTGTCTCTTTGGTTTGGATTCATGAGATAGAACTGGGGAATGTTGCATATTAGAAAAAATGAACTGATGTCAGTTCACTGTGAGACACCAGGCTTTCATTCCTCCTGAAACTGTGGGAACACACAGGAGGTGAGAATCAGCATAGCAGAAGCTCCCCTTGCAGGCAGGCAGCAGCAGGCAGAGACTGGTGATGTGAGACTGAGGTCCAGACAAAAATTTATTCTCCTATGTTAATACAATTTCATTCTACTAGCTACTGCATACATAGAAGGTGTTTCAGGAGCCTTAACACTTTGAGTTTTAAGCAGTCAGATCTGAGGACTCATTCTGTTCAATTCATAGTTTGGCTTGTATTTCATAAATGTTGCTGAGACTTGATTATTTGCACATCCTGTAAAATATAGCTTGTGCTCAAAACATTTAAAAGATAACTGCTATAGAATTCTGAACATTAAATATAGCACTACTACAGGTAAATCTCATAGAAATAAAGATATGATCCCATAATTGAAGCATTAGAATTATATATTTGGATGATTATCATATCAGCTGTTTAATTTGACCATCTTCGCAGGCACTGAAAATGAAATAGCGGTACAAGGAGCTATTTGTGGTTTTATTACACTGTAGGTTAGCACACTGACAAGTCAAACACTTTCATTCAGACTGTATAGAAACTCATACACCCCTTGTTCATATCTATTTTGACCTCTGTCTTTATAAATAAAGACATGCACATATACCCAAATAAGACACAATGATCCCAGAAAGCGTTTGTAAACATTCATGCTAACTTGTGGATATACACTGATTTAAAATACCTCTTTTACTTTAAGCAGCTTTGATTTTCTGTCTAGAAGACAAAAGAGAACATTACTAGCTATCGCTTAATAAGTTTGCTTATTTGAATGTTAGCGCTTCTAAAAACTAATCAATATTCATTACAGTCCTGAATTGGAAGATGAAAGGATCAAATGATACTTCGGAATTGGAAATGAAATTCTCAGAAAATGTCAAAAAATATTTTGTGCAGTCTTACTTTAAGAGGAACTGAAAAGAGATCACAAAAGCCTTTAGATATTAAAGGAAAAGGCTCTTGGTATATAATGTAACTCAGTTAATTAAAATCTGCTTAATTTGGAATATGTAACAGAGCAGAGGTGAAATGTGTTCTATTTTTTTGGAGCTTCTTTTAAAAATCTTTACATTTAGCAAGAATATGATAAACATGAGAACAGGATAAAATTCACCCTTGGATTTAGTTTGTGGGTTGAAAGGCAGTATCACTTATTTGCATAAACTGTAGACCCTACACTTGCAACAACTGCACATGTGACCAAGGAGTTTTCTAGCCGATGCTGCAGAAAAAGTTTATTCAGTTTAACTGAAGAAAGACACAATTTTCCTATTAAAGGAGAAATGGTGATCCCCAGGCAAGAGAGAGTTCTTTCAGTACTGTCATGCTACCCACCCCCGGGTTAAATTCTAAGAACAAGGACCATTCAATGATGCAAGGGTTACATGGAAGACTACAGATTAAAAATTATCATTCTAAAGTGTCTTTTAATTTGGTCCTGAACCAAATTGGTGAGAAATGGAATCTTTGTCAGAATAACAGGGAAAGATTCAAATATCAAAGGATGTGCAAATAAACAATTGCATTTTTAAAATTGGAAAATATACATACTTTCAGAGACAAAGCACAAGTCTCACTGACGTTAAAAATGATAAGGGAGTTAAACTGTAAGGTTTTTGCAGCATTATTGGTACTATTTGACTGCCCTGATTTCTATAATCAGATTTTAGCAAGCCTATAAAAAAACTTAAAATTTTATATTGTTGTTCATGTGTTTCCAGTATAGATAATGTATAGTTATGACATTTGGGTTATAGGTCAGATCTCAGGCCTTACTGCACATCCAGGGAAAATTACTTTTTGAATAACACATAGTACAACCTTCAACTCTTAAAAGGTCAGGAGAGGTCCATTCCCCATTCAAAGTGACCAGATGATATAATTTCCACTTGTTCTGAAATGCCTTCCTAATTGCAAGCTTAAAATTTATTTCTCCACCATAACATAAAAGACCCTAGCAATAAAAGCAACACGCGTAGGTGAAACTATTCTATTTTTCTGGCTATACAAAAGATTATTATAGCATCTCTAATACAGGGAGAATGGTAGAGAACATACAACACATTTCCTGTGTTTTTCAATTAAAAGAGACATTTTGACATACTGTTCTGACTTTTTCCTTATTCCCTCATAGCTGCAGCATAAGTTTAAAATAAACTGAGTAAGGTAACTCAGTGCAAATGCAATGTGATGTTAGAAGTGAGCTGCCTAAGAGACTAAGTCAGATACGGGAGCTGTTTCTAAAATAGGATTAAGGAGTGTTTCAAATCACCCAGAACCAATTCTCAAGGGACACTCTGGTACAAATGATGATACCGGGTTAAGAAAACATTTTTCTTATGAAAAAAATTAGAAGTCAGAGCTTGCCACTTACGTTATCCAAGATAAGTTTGGTGATTATCCTGTAAATGAACATCGATTTTTATGTAGACTCCAATATTTCCAATCTCTGAAAAATTGTTCTGGTGTCCTGAATGGTCAATTGAAGAATTATGGCAAATATATTCTGGTGAAGTGGTTGCTTGTCTGAGAAAACAAAGAGATTGCCTCACGTCTGAGGCTTTCCATACTACTTTTTAAAACTAGCTTTAACACAGAAGAGAAAAAAACCCCAAACCTCGAAACCCAGTAGTAAATTTTTTGTTACTGGCTGACCCACAAGGTGGCACTAAAGAGAAAAGTGACAATAGTGAAGATTACAGGCGAGTTACTCACTAAATCAATTGCAGAAATTCAATTTATTTCAGGAAATGGTCAAACACATTTTAATATGCTCATGACTCTGAGCAGTCACCTTCGGGTTCATTGCTTTTTTTTCCCATGGACCCTTGTGGAGCAAAAAGTTTTATTCAATTAAGCAGCAGGCTATTTTAAAAGGAGTAATGTGACTGATCCTTCTAGTGTAGTGATTTTGTAGGAAAGTTGTTTTCTTTTTCCAGGACCATTGTTTGTTACAAAATACGACCATTCTTGTATAGTGCCTAATATTTAATGCTCTTAATATAAATGTGAAATATCCTACATATTTATTTTATATTTATAGTAGAAGACATATTTAGGATTTTCATATTTGAAGTCAACACATATAAATAGCTTTCTAAAAATAAAGCAAAAAGAATTTCAGTCCAGAGTGAGGGGGAAGGGATTAGAAAAACCTGTGGAGAGAAAGAAAAAAATATTAATGATGTAGACATAGACTGGGTATATAGCCCTAAAATCAAAGCGGTATGGAGGATCCTCAGGTTTAGTGCCACAGGGTGGAAAAAGCTATGTCTTTTTCTGGCTAATATTCCTGAACACAAGCAGTGGAGAGAGACGCACCAGAAAAAAGGATGCATTTTCAGTTCAGACTAAAATGGTATGTTATGAGCACAAAGGCCTGAAACTGGACAAACAGAAGTTACATCTTTTTCCTTCATTTTCAAGTAGGAATTTAAAAATAATGCAGTTTTAATTTTATTACTACTCTCTCTCTCTATATATATATATATATATTTATATGTATATATATATCTTGTCCAAGTTTTCTAATGGAAGGTATATTTTTCATTTGTAAATGATTACACATTTGATCAGAATATGGACCCAGCAAACCTTCCTATTACAGATTACATTGTATTATTGCACACAAAAAATGCTGTAGTTCAAAATTAGCTTTCAAAACTCACATATAGGTATATGACTTCAGTATTAGTGAGATTTCATTACCTAAAGAAAAAAAACTTGACCATATCTCTTCTAATTTTATTAACCTATTTATAGTTACTATAATTTTAATATAGTAAAATTAGCCTGGGATGTGGCTCAGTGGCACAAGTGCCTGCCTGGCAAGCGCAAGGCCCTGAGTTTGACTCCTGGTACCCAAAAAAGCCAAAAAAAATGCACTAATTGATATAGTAAGATTAAGAAATATCATAATTACCTGGCTTAAAAAGCTATGTTAATAAACATTTATATACCAAACAGTGTCTTATCTGTAGTAAGGGAAGGTGTTAGGAGGTAAACAGTATGTTTTATTATTAAAGGAAAGAAGAGGTTATGAATTATTTGAAGAGAGGAATGTGTAGACTAGAAGATACATATTGAAGAAATAAAACAGGATAGTTTATGTCTTTATATGATTTTACATTAGTATGGAAGTGTGCCTCTGAAGAAATACTTTTCATGGTTTGAAAGAGACAAGGAACCATTAAAATCATGCAGTTTTGAGTGAGTAATAAGATTGAGAATAATGTATACATTTTAATGAATTCAAGAGTATCATTTATAAGTCATGTGAACTGCTCAGTTTTACAGTATGAAAATAAACTAGAGTTCACTCTTTCAACTTGGTACCCAGTCCAGGATAAATAATGCTATCCTTTGTTTGTATCATTATTTTACAGAATGATGACTCATCCCAGGGCCCTACTACATTATTATTAATTCATTTCATTTAAGAACAGATGGCACGTATCTGCTCCAATGAGAGTAGAGAATAGGATGGTTTGGGTCAGTGCTATATTCCTCCAATAGGGCCTGGTACTGACTTCATAATTTATGTAGCAAGTATCAGTTATGCAGTCGACTAGTTCACATTTGGCTTACCTTGCAGGAAATAGCATGGCATTATGTTTAAGTGTACAGGTGATGGAGTAGCACTGTTTGGTTTTGAATTCCAACTCTGCCATCTACTAATTAAAGGACTGCACCCGATGCTTAATCTCTCTGAGGTTCAGTTTCCTCATTCGTTGAATTGGAGAAATAACAGCATTGACCTATGGTGGTTATTATTATGATTAAATAACACAAAATCCTTAAATACTTGCCATAAGTTGAGCCATTGAGAAATTTTAGCCATTATTAATACTATCATTAATTATTACTGCCGTGTTTATCTAGAAACATGGATTTGCATAACTAATAGTCATGGTAACAGCTAATACTTGTGTATGCATTGTATATTTCTTGAGCTACTAGACATTTTTTTTTTTGGTGGTGCTGGGGATCAAACCCAGGACCTTGTGCATGCAAGGCAAGAACTCTACCACTGAGCCGTATTCCCAGCCCATTATAAGACATACTGATTAGCTAAATGGAAACAACTTTGAAAATTTAGCCAACTTCTATTCTGTTTGTAGACTTTATTGTATATTATCTTTGTAGCTTTCATAAATAAACTATACACATTTCCATGATGCATACTTTGTTTTTTATGGAGCTTTCTTATAGAGATCATAAACCAAAGATCTAAACCTACCATTAGAATCCTCTAAAGAAAACTGTAACTTCCCTTAGATCCTAGTACTGTCCTCTGGATATGACATTTAATACTAGAATTGGGAATTGTATCACAGGTTATTCAATCATGCCTTTTCTTACATTTGCTACCTGGGAAGGTCTCTTTTATGCTGACAACTGACAGTTAAATTAAAATGTTTCTTTTAGTTGGTGAACTATAGACATCATGAAACATCATTATCTCAATTATGGCTAATCTTAAATAATTCTCCATCTCCAAGATCTAGAGGAATGTTTTGTTGGGAAGGGCGACTCTTGTATGAAACCTCTCACAAAGTTCACAGGTGAGAGAAGGGGACACACGTTACATAATTTTAAAATTGTGCAATATAACATATTAATAAAATGTTTGTCAGATAAACTTCCTACATTGAAATTTTCATCCAAGTATTACTATTTCAGATAGTTTTTTTGCTATTGCCACATGGCGGCACCACTTTAGCTGATTAACAGAGACTTCTGCATTTATTGTCAGCATTAGTCTTCAGTTGCGTGAAGGCTGTAGGAGTGCATTCCTATCATGAAATACACCAGCTCTGTGCTGTCTGACAGTACTGTAAGTTTGTTTATCCCCACATATGCTTTTGCTGGCATAATATATTTTATAAAGTCTCTTTCCCCATTGAAGTTTTAGGTTTTAATTGAAATATTTTTTGTTTTTCATGGAAATATTAAAAATACCTGAGAGCTCAGAGGATAGTGTCTGCACATGCTTCTGAATTTCTTTCACAGAATATAGAGCTGTAAGAGACTACCAAGTTTGTTTAGTCTAACTCTGTAACATTAACACTTCCAGAAAACGAGTCCTTTAAGTGGGTTAGGATAATAGAAGGAGGCCAGGGAGGCGCTGGATCTCCCTCTTCTCAACTAAACTGTTTCTGGATGTGAAGTGCTAATCACACTGAAAGAACTGGATAAATAAGTACACTCAGATTGTTCTTGTCTATAGAAACCAGTATGAACAGAAAAAAAGCAATTCAAGTGTAAAGACTTGGAAACTAGTACATGCATGGAAGATAGTTCATTTTGATTACTTACTGGTTCAACGTGCAGATTCAATTATAACCCACTTCTTTTTGAGCTCATGAATATTAAACAAACATTCTGATTGTATTCACTTTTACAAGTCCCTGAATCAAATATGGGCATAACATGACTTTAATGACATTTATTAGTTAAAGAAAATCATCATAGAATTTGTGAAACAAATAAATGTTTCTGACAGAAGGATCAGGCTTTTAAGTTTTATTTCCTTATTTAGAACCCTGCATAACTCACGATTTTGGCATTGGAGAAGTCAATTCTTTCTCTAGTCCAGTGACTTAAAGACTGAAGGCAATTTTTAAATGAAATATAAGTGAATAATTTCTTCAATATTTTTGTTAGATATATAATCTGAAATTTTATCTTTTTTCATTTGAAGGTAGAATTAACATTTTCTAGGAATATTAAAAATTTATTTTATTAACTGCTTACATCTCAGGGAAAGGGGGCTACATACTTTCAGAAATTACAAAAGGAAAAATCACTGGGTTCCTTTGTAACACTGAAAGGAGAGGAAGAAATACTTACTTGACTTTGCTGCTGAGTTTATTGGGTAAAGTTACATTTAAGAAGAATTAATGAGCTAATAAGCTGCGGCCACTTGTTAATAAACTTCTGTCTGTTTCAGTTGAAACAATCCATTTACTAATTTAATCAGTCATTAGAGACTTTACTAATTGATAAATGCATTATTTAATTCCAAAATAACTTGAGCGCTACTTTGTAGTAATTTTCAGGAGTACCTAAACACATTTATAGGATGCAAAGAGCAGAAAAAAGCCTTCTTCGACTCTTTCTTGACAAACATCATTTAGAGACATCTTAAAGGCCACTTAGCAGGTAACATCTTCGCTCAAGCATATGGGAGCGGTTCCAGAATGCTCAGATACTCTAAGGTGCTAAGCCTGTGGAATTTAGATCAGTAATCCTGAATAACCAGATTAGATTTCTGAAATCTGAAAAGTCTGGTGACCTGTGGAAGATTACCTAGTTCTTACAATCTAATAGAGAACCCCAACTTCTCAACTCTTAAAATGTATACAGCCACATACATATGGGCAGCAAGAGCGCAGACATTTAAAACAGAGCAGAAAAAAGTAACTTGAACAGAATGTGGCATTTCCCTTGGTCTATGCTAACGGCCCACATACAACATGCTTACAAAACCCACCCTGGCACTTATATTCATCAGCATTTAAAAGTGATTGGAATGGACATCTAGGATGTATGAACTTGTATCCAATCTGGAAATAAAGGAAAAAGAACTTCCTACAGCAGGGCTGCATTTTCCCTGGTTATCACACTAAGTTGATATGCAGTTCCTTTTCTTCCTCAGCTGTGCTTTTAAAGCCAAACACAGAATTTTAATTGTACCTTTTCAGCACTCCAAAGCCAGCAGCATTAAACAGTTCTTTTTGCAAGGAAAATAATGCTGGGGGTTGCTTTTTAAAATGCCACCAGGATTTAAAGACTCCAAGGAAATATGCAGAAAGGAATGACTTCATTTTCTTTATATTATCTGCTTAATTTTTGGACTCAAGTCGGTAACACTTTGTCTTGTTAAAAACTAGAGACTGCTACCTCTTTAGCTGTCCCCTTTGGGGAGGCAGTTTTCTAAATACTGCTGTAATAGAAGTTCCGCACACTAACTTGGGAGGTTGCATATCCCACATACTCACACAGACTCACTATAAGTTGAAACTCCAATAATCTCAGAAGAATGCTTAGCGAGCCAATGGTCTATGAATCTGTTTTGGTGATTCTTGCTGTCACTTCTTGATAACTGCTCCAACAAAGTGTAAACAATTTTCATGATAACACTGGACAGCTACGTAAAAGTAATTGTGGCTGGGGAAAAGGAAAAACTGATCAATCTTGGAATGTATTTGTTCATCTTTGTAGTGAGTTTAAAGATATCGGGGCTCATTTCCCCAGCGTTTCTGTTTTGCTGTTCTTTTGTTTCTTATTTTGGTCCTATAAGCATTATATTTTAATCTGTTTCCCAATTTAAAAATAGAATGTATCCTGTGGGAAAATATGTCTCCTTTCTTTGGTCCTTACTTCCCCAGGATTCTAACGCTTCATTGCTAGGCATTATTGTAGCACTGGACATAACACACAGTATAATACAGGGAGTCAGGCTTTGGAGAATTTATTTCAATTTACATACAATCCTCCAAACCTCAGGCGAGCTTGATGTGAAATCTGACACAGCAGCGTCTCCCCAGCAGGATCTTCCTCTGCTCTCCTGGTTAACAGCCAAAGGCTCCAGTGGTCCCTCTGGGGAGCCGCAGTGGGGCTAGAGTCGGCAAGAGGGGTGACTGCGGGGCTTGTTGCGCTAAAGATTTACAATGTACTTCTTGCAGGCAGCTCAGCAACCCCCTCTGAGGCTGTGGGTGTCTGGTGTGACGGAGCGGAGAAAAGCTCTCTAATCTCCCAGCGCCTGCCTCTGCCTCCGCCGCTCACCACTCCCCTCCCTCCCGCCTTCCCTGCCTCCTCGCGCTCCCTCGCTCTCTCCTTCGCCTTTCTCCGGGAGTTTCAGCCCCTGAATGCAGCTGGAGTAGCTTTGGCAATCTAAACCCGGCGCCTGTGTACACACACAGACACACAGACAGACACACGCGCACACACGCGCACGCACACACGCACACACATGCGACCGCGCTCTCCCGCAGGCACTTGGGCTCCCTCCCCGGGGACGAGGAGCCAACCTTCATCTACCTGAAGTGGATGGCCCGGCTGGACACTTCTCCCTTACTTGCCGGCTCCGGAGGGCAGAGCGAGCTCTGAACGCGGCAGGCTCGCCGTCCGGTCTGCAGCCTCACGCCGCTCGCCGCCGCCGCAGCCTGAAGTGCTGCTCAGGGTGGAGGAGGCGGCTTCTCCGGGACTTGCCCCGCGGCGCAGCTCCGCGGCCCGGGACGTCCTCGGGGGTCCGCTGCGGCCGTCCCCTCCGTCGCTCTCGGCCCTCCTCGCTCCGACTGCGGGTG